AGGCTGCCGCGGGAGTCAATAACGCCGGGCCAAGGCGCAGCCGATCCGCTCCCCGTCGGGCAGCGCTGCGTGACGGCCGCGGTGCCGGGCGCCGCCGGCTCCATCCGCTGCTCAGCGGAGCGGCCCCGATGCACCCAGCTCGTCCCCCTGCGCCCTCGCGGGTTGTGGGGCCAGCAGGGCGCCCAGAGCCTTCATCCTTAAGCACGCCAGCCCTCCACTTAAAACTGTGTGACATGCTATTTGTATGCAAATAACTCTGTGGATGCTGAAGTCCAAAAATATCATTTTAAAGTCAACTGTAATTAAGTTTGCAATGCATTTCCCAGCTCTTGCAGCTCTGGGGATCCCACCGTTAGCATAAAGATGAATGTCTGGATGACATTTCTCCCCCTCGCAAGGCTTCGCTGGTGATTTATTTATCTGTTCAGGCTGTGTTTTGTTGTCTCAGCAGTCCCTGTTGCTCAGGAGCAGCAAACACTGCATTTAACTCCATAAAAAAAAATTGTCTTATTTCAGGAATTTATTATGCAGCGATTTTGTGTTTTTCATAATTGATTAGAACCTGTAATTTCATTTTTTAAATACGTGGGCCTAATAGCTCACGTAATGAAATTCCAACAAGCCTGAAGATGAACCATTAATGAAACAGCAGTTTCATGATGCTGCAGCAATATATTGCGATAGCGACTCGCTTGCAAAGTCGCCCCGCGCCGCTTGCCGAGGAACCCGTCGGGCCGAACCCTGCGCCCTTCCCGCTCGGCTCGGGGCTGCCGGGCGCGTTGGGGGACCCTGGAAGAACCGCGGTTATTTCCATGGCCGAAGGCTCCCCGCGAAGCTTCCGGGATGTGCTGAGCAGCTGCCGCGGTCGGGAGCGCCCGGGATCCCGCAGGGCCGGAGCTCTGGCGCCGTCTGCGCCATGCGGAACTCAGGGCTGCTCCAGCCGAATTCCCGCAGGCAGCGCCCCGGCTGCCCCCATCCCCAGGCTCTGTCGGGCTGTTTCCCACCACACAATTAAATTCCAACTGGGAGTTTATGAACACGAGCCACTGGCCTTGCTGCAAGGGGGCAGAAGCGGCAGATGCTTCCGAGCGATAAATGGAACAAGTGGAGCAGGCGCAGCCGGCACGGCCCTGCTCCCAGGGAGCCGGGTCCACTCGCTCGGCAGCGCCCAGAGCCACCTGCGATGGAGTTAGGAGTTTCCTGCACTAATGCAAGGCCTGTTTACAAATCTTTCCGTCCCATTAGTTTTTATTTGATTTGGCTGCTCGCACGTTGGAGGCAGCGATTGACCTGGCCTGAGCCGCGCGGCCTGGCGCATCCCGCTCCCGGGAGCAGCCGGGGCCGCGGGCAGCCCGGGACGGCGCCGCTTTCCCGGGGCCGGGTGGCAGCGGGAGGCAGTGGCGGTGCCCAGGCTCCGGCGCCTTCCTCACCCTCCTCTTCCTCGCTTGCAGGAGCCTCATGCCGCGGACGCTCGACAGCCAGATCACGGTGGAGAAGACCCCCAGCTACTTCGTGACCAAGGAGGCGCCGCGGCGGATCTTCAACATGTCCCGCGACACCAAGCTCATCGTGGTGGTGCGGAACCCGGTGACCCGGGCCATCTCCGACTACACGCAGACGCTCTCCAAGAAGCCCGACATCCCCACCTTCGAGGGGCTGTCCTTCCGCAACCGCAGCCTGGGGCTGGTGGACACCTCCTGGAGCGCCATCCGCATCGGCCTCTACGCCCTGCACCTGCAGAGCTGGCTCCAGTACTTCCCCCTCTCCCAGATCCACTTTGTGAGCGGGGAGCGGCTCATCACGGACCCGGCATTAGTTTTTATTTGATTTGGCCGCTCGCACGTTGGAGGCAGCGATTGCCCTGGCCTGAGCCGCGCGGCCTGGCGCATCCCGCTCCCGGGAGCAGCCGGGGCCGCGGGCAGCCCGGGACGGCGCCGCTTTCCCGGGGCCGGGTGGCAGCGGGAGGCAGTGGCGGTGCCCAGGCTCCGGCGCCTTCCTCACCCTCCTCTTCCTCGCTTGCAGGAGCCTGATGCCGCGGACGCTCGACAGCCAGATCACGGTGGAGAAGACCCCCAGCTACTTCGTGACCAAGGAGGCGCCGCGGCGGATCTTCAACATGTCCCGCGACACCAAGCTCATCGTGGTGGTGCGGAACCCGGTGACCCGGGCCATCTCCGACTACACGCAGACGCTCTCCAAGAAGCCCGACATCCCCACCTTCGAGGGGCTGTCCTTCCGCAACCGCAGCCTGGGGCTGGTGGACACCTCCTGGAGCGCCATCCGCATCGGCCTCTACGCCCTGCACCTGCAGAGCTGGCTCCAGTACTTCCCCCTCTCCCAGATCCACTTTGTGAGCGGGGAGCGGCTCATCACGGACCCGGCCGGGGAGATGGCCAAGGTGCAGGACTTCCTGGGCGTGCGGCGCGTCCGGTGCCTTCGCTCCCCTTTGCAGTCCAGGGGCTCCCGCTGTGCCCGGGGCTGCTGGCGACGTCCGCATGGAGCGACGCCCTTTGGAAGCAGCGGGAAGGGCCCCGGCAGCTTGTTCAGCGGAGCCCGGTGCTCCCCGCGCCGCTGGCCCCGCTCCCGGCCCTGATGCCATCGGGAGCGACACGAATCCCGCTCGTTGGGCAGCTCCGCGCCTCGCCGCCTGGCCCGACCTCAGCAAAGCGGCATCAAAACACCCCGTTAGGGGAGGAAAAAAAGCAGAGAGCTCCCTGGCTGCCGGCTCTGAGGGACAGCGCGGTAATGATTTTGATGGAGAGGATTGTCATTTTGCTTTTCCCTAGCAAATTATCATCTGTTGATGTCTCAGCGCTGCCCGTGCCAGATCAACAGGCGCGTTTCGGTGCCACCCTCCTGGCGCAGCCTGCCAAGGCCCAGACGCTGCCAGAGCCGCTGGCGCCAGCCGCCCCCAGCCCAACGAGCGGCTGCTCCCGACGGAGCCGCCAAGCCCTGGGAACACGGGCAACCGGGACCGCGCAGCTGGTGCCTGTAGGTAGGACGGTGCAGTTGTGTCTGCAGGGAGGATGGTGCAGCTGTGTCTGCAGGTAGGATGGTGCAGCTGGTGCCTGCAGGTGGGACGGTGCAGTTGTCCCTGCAGGTAGGACGGTGCAGTTGTGCCATGCAGGCGGGACGGGGCAGTTGTGCCATGCAGGCAGGACGATGCAGTTGTTCCCTGCAAGCAGGACTGTGCAGACTCACCCACGTCCTGCACCGCAGCCCTGCTCTGCACCCACCTTCCACCCTGGCTCTCTCCTAAGCACCTCGTAGGTTTGGACACTGCAGACCCATCCCAAACAGCAGCCTTGAAGCAGCGCTGTGCTGCTGCGTGTCATCTGTCCAGGCTCACACCACGTAAATCACCACTACTTGTGAGGAAGCTAATTAACAGTAATCATGAAAACCTCATTAGTGCTCATTTCCATCAGATACACAGAAATTTCCTAACCTTTGATGCTGGCAGCCAGAAGCCATTTGCATTTCTGCGGGACACTCCAGGGCAGAGGCGCAGGGCCTGCGCGGGGCCCCCCCGGCAGCTCCGGATCCGGCTGCTTCCCGGCTCTCCAGGCTGGGAAGGACAAGACAGGGCAGGACACGGCACCG